CAGAAAAAGGCAGTCCAGAAATTTGAAAATGAGAATGTCTTCTCCTGGAAAGGTGGAGGGAAATGGAGGGATAGTGTAAATTGATGAGGTCATGGCCTTTTGGAAGCAACAAAGCACAGAAACCATAAAAATGCCTTTTTTAGAACCTAGTCCTGTAACTTAACATCTTAATTCTGAGAATTATTCTAAGAATGAGCAAGAAGATTTGCTGCAGAATTATTCATTATTATAATGTTGAAAAATTGGACACTACCTGATTGTGCTCAAATCATTCCAGAGACTAGGTAGCTGCATGAAAACATACTTGCATATTGCAAGTAAAAGGCTGTAACATATATGCACTATGATTAACCACAGACATGAAGTTGAAAGGGACTATATCCTCAACACAATAATTATGAGAAGTCGTGAGATTTTTTGGATAATTCCCCCTATTTTCATTTATTACATTTATAATAAAAACATTTTAAAATATTCATACCCCACATTCTGCATAAGCTGATGAAGATACAGATGCTCACACAAGGAAGGAAACAGTGAACCTGAAAGCTAAGACAAGGCATGACAGGAGCTCATCACCCCACCTCTTTCTTCCTCTGTGCAGAGTGCAGCACTTCGAAGGCCCTGTTCTTCCATGTCTGCTCTGGTGTTCACGGAGATATTGTGTCTGAGTAGACAGGTTTATTCCAAATGCCCAGCTAATTCATCCATTGCAAGAAACTGTAATGGATGCTTCTGGTGGACTATGTGTTCCCGTGACTGGGGAGCTCACCACCTCACAAAACAGCCTGTTCAGCCCTGCCTTCTAAATCATGCTCGAGGCAACGTGGGTTTCCCAGTCACCTCCTGCCAGCCAGGATTTCAGAATATGAGTAACGAACTCGGGGCCTGGAGAGAGACTGCATTGATCTTTTTTTTTTTTTTTTAAAGATTTATTTATTTATTTATACCAGCACTGGGTACAGTCAGAAGCGCAGGAGGGTGAGACAATTCACCAGAGCCAGAGCGGGGAGCAGAGCAGGCAGAAGGACCGAAGTACACTGCTGAGGGGAGCAGCGGGCGGCAGGAGAGGTCTGCGCGCCACGCGGGACCCTCCCTCGGTGGCCGGGGAGCAGCCGGGGATTGAACCACCGCTGCAGAGGCTGCGGGCAGCTTCGCAACCCAGGGCTCAACCTCAGCGCCACCAGGGAAGCCCTGCATTGATCTTTTTAACAGAAAGAAAATATTACTCTTATAATAAGAGATAGCAGAGCCCTGATCATGAAAAATATGTTCTAGAAACTGGCATGTTCTAGAAACCCATGGCTACTTTAGTGAATAGAAAAAAATGGCAAAGATCAAGCCCCAGAAGAAAAGCACTACAGAGAACTGCCCATGCGTCTCCCTAAAGACTAACGGGACTTTAGATCCGCCCTCCATCTCATTCAGACATGTCCTTTGGTTATCTATCCAAGAGGGGGCTTTTCAGTGCTTGTTTTCCTTATGTTAGAGATTCTGGTTGTCTCCAGCCTTTCTGAAGACGTGCAAGGTGAGCCGATAAACTGAAGGCAGGCAGGCAGTAGCCTCTGTACTGACTCCTGAGGGTCTCCAGGTTACATTCCTGCTTCTCTTACCCATGAATCATTCATTTCAGGCGTTCCCTCTATTTTGCTAGAAGAGCCTAAAAGATTCATGCTTAAAGGGTGGAGGGAAGGAAAACCACCTAAAATGTGGATAATAGTGCTTCAATCCCACCTAAATTTTAGAAGTAATAGTTTGCGAAGCATTAGGGATAGTTTAAAAATGATAGATGGGAAAGTGCTATTTGTGAGGGTAGGACCCATTTGTCCCCCCTACCCCCCACACTCATATATTGAAGCCCTAAGCCCAGGGTGATGGTATATGGAGGTGGGGCCTTCAGGAGGTGATCAGACCCTGTGAGGATGAGACTTGTGATGGGATTGGTACCCTGACTAGATCCAAGAGGGCATGCTCCTCCCATGCCCCACCAGGATCACACGGGAGAAGGTGGAAGGCAGTTCTCATAAAAAATGAGCCCTGCTGAACCTCGACCTTGAACTTTCTAGCCCCTTGAACTTTTCTAGCTACGAGAAGGTAAGCAGTGCCTAGAGACAAAAGCTCGGAGAGCCTGCCTCAGAGGCCGGGAGCTGGATCAGTCCTTAGAGACACAGGGGGCATAGGAGGGCCTGCCCCAAGAACACAAAATCTAGAAAGGGAGACCATTAGCCTGGGGAAGTGAGGAGGGGCACTGGACGAGGGAGTTAGCAGGTAGAAGTGAGCTGGAAATTCTAACTCCTCTCAGCCATGGGTGAAAAAAAGTGAAGAAAATGCTAAGGTGAGTTCTTTTCAAATTCCCCCCCAAAGCAGATGGGCATATTGCGAGACTGTGTATTTTAGCATGCCTGGGTTACAATGTCATGATGATTCTCTGAAAGTGATGGGGACTTGGAGTAAGGGGCTGGGATGGGAGAGGACCAGACTGTTCTGTTAGTCCCTCGTAAAACTAACATGTACCCAGGCTGGGCTCCATGTGCCCCTGGGTCAGCACGCACGGGCTCTGTACAACAGCAGGAGGGAAAGAGCTAGGCGTTTGAACTTAGAGGGTGAAGAAGCACAAACCATGGAGGGGGTCCCTCACTGGAACACCATTCCACTTCCTTCTGTCTCTGCTTGGGTCCTTGGGCTGACCTGGGCCCCCACTTGAATCCGAGGGAAAGGGACCAGCCTAGGAGAGGCCCAAGAACAAAACCAAGGCAGGACAGCGTGTCTGGAAAGGCACTGCTCGCTGATGATCACGTGTGCAGAGTCTGCCAGAGGCTTTCTTGGGGAGCAAGCCCTGCTGAGAATTAAGACTTTCTGGGGACTAGAAGCAATGCCGTCTCTTGAGAAGGGCTGTCAGACACTCTACCAGACTATGACCAATGCATTTGCTTGTTCTATTATTAATAATTGCTTTAGACCCAGCATCTACCATCACAGGAGCCATGCCCTGGGCGGTGTGTTCACTTACAACTCCCACTGAAAATCACAGCCCCGCTCTGTGCTAAGAGGATTGTGCTGGCCAAGATAAACCTAATGGATCTGGTTTAGTATCTGGTGCCAAGTAATACACAGCTGATTAGCCCCGCTCACAGATGCACTGAAATCATCTGGTTATTCCTTCTTCTCCATTTCTTTCTTCCTCAGACAGGCCTTGACTGAGAGAGATGAACTCGGCCAGACCAGGCAGAGAGAGGTGTGAACTACTTGCAGTTCTGAGCAAGAAGCTGCACCCTCCAAGACAGCCTCTGGGTTGTTGACTCACCACACTGGACAGCCAGTGTTAAGACATCTGTGATGCACACAGGACACTGGATGGCTTTGCTGCCTCCTAGGTGGCAAGACAAAGGGATGTGAGGAGAGGGGCAAAGGGGCAGTCAGAAGAATGCCCACTGTTTGCAGATCCTGTGGGAACAGTTGCCAAATAGAAATTATTGAAAACTTCAGGGCAGGGGAACAACTGGTAGATTCTGAGATCTGAACTAGAAATTGGAGTGATCAAGTTTTTTAAGAACACCCCAGTGCTGGGTTGAGTATGACAGAAAGCCCAACTCAGTTCTGAAACAGTGAGAGCCAGAGAAGTAACTTGATCTGCTTCCTATGCTTGTTCAATCCCGTGCCATGTAACTGAGACTGAAAACTACGATGGAGTATTAGGGGAAAATGTTATCGAATGAAGCAATGGCAAGAGAGCACTGAGTCAAAAGAAGATTCCCCACACTCTCTAAATGTGCTGGACACTGATGGGAGCTGGGTGCTGAGCGGATGAGAAGGAAGGTCACTGAGTGGATGAGGAGGCTGGTCACCAACTGCTCACCGCTCAGAGGAAGGCAGAACAGCAGAACTGGCAAGGCATTCAGAAGTGAGAGCTCCACATTTCCTAAATTCCGTCTCTGAGGACTTCTCCGGCCTCAGTGTCTCCTCCCTAAGATAGTGGCCTATTACCTGCTGCTTTACCTAAGCCTTTAGCTCTCTTGTAATTTAGTATTTATTGGATCCAACCTCAGTCTTTTTTTCTGTAGGGGCGATGGAATTTCTATTTTTGTAAGTTCTCCAGGGAATTTTGGTGATGAGCTGGATCCAGGCCGTTGTCAGTGGACCTGTGTTAGGTAGCTGCAAGGATGTATTTCTGAGCCCTGCTTATGGGCATAAAACACAGGCAGGGTGACATGCATGGGATATAGCAACAGAGATAAGGCAGAAATGCCCTTCCCTGCTTGGAGAACAGCAGCACACATTGAAGCTGCTGGCAGTGTCTGCATGACCGCACTGGGCCTGGGCTCCGGGTGATGGCTATAAAACCCACCCGAACTTTCTGGGAGAATATCACTTTACTCCCTGTTTTCTCAAATTCGCTGTTCCATTTTTTAGTAGCAAATGTGAGAAATGAAAAGCATCTCAACGAGACTTGCAGGAAAATGTCCAGGATTTCTCAAATACACGTTTTAAGTTCTTAAAACTTAAGTTCTTTTGACTTCCTGAAATGTTACTTCTTTAATAAAGTGGGCTTTTCCCCTCCACTGCCTATTGTAAAGCCACAGTTTGAGAGACTATTAAATAACTGATGATGGATTAAATCTTCTGTAATTTGAAGACATTAAGAAGCAAAATAGAAAAATAATGTGAAATTCTGTTATGTCAGCTGAATCATTAAAAAAGCAAAATGTTCTCTCTTCCATATTATTTTACTTTTTAAAGGCGTCATCCTGCATTGTCACCAAAACAATAACAAAAACAAAAAAACCTTGTAAGTCTGCATGCATGCATGGGGGAGGGGAGCAGGGAGGGAGAAGACAGCAGCATCTAGAAAGCTTGAGAGAGATCTAAACACATGGCTCAGTTCCCCACACAGCAAAGTTCTACTGCCATCTCCTGGCACTATGAGGTGTTCACAAGAGGCATGATCTACTCAGATTCCATACATCCCAGCAGCGCCCACAAGATGTTTACCTTTAAAAAGATTAGAATAAGACATAATTTTGCTTTTTTATTCAAAAGGATCATGTGCTTTACATCAGTTTGGTTTCGAAAAGACCCCAGGTCTTAAAACTAAAATACGACGACATTTTTTTTTTTTTTTTTTTGCCAGAATAACAGTTTCACATTGAAAAGCCTCAACATAAAAAAATTACCTTCAAAACCTATTGGGACATTCTCACATAAACTAGGATATTTCGCAAACAATCAAGTTCTTTCTTCAGTATTCAATCTTTTCAATTTCATCCATGTCTTCAGGGTCGAGTTGCTTGATGCTGCTATCTAAAAGAATAGAACAGATGGGACCAGTCTTATCTCAGGGCACACCTGGAACTTCAACTCTGAATCTCCAAAGACAGCGACACCTTTGAAAAAGTGTAAGTTCCCTGCATACAGAGCCTCAGACGCACGAACACTAGGTAAGGAAAGGATGTGAACTAAAATAGCAACAAATGCACAAACATCAAGGTATTGCAAGACAGAAAAGGCCGAAGTGCAACCAAATGGGTGCAGGAATGTGGGAGGGGGAGAGGGACTAAGACTCCTCCACAGAGGTCATTTTCCAAGACCAGTGCTTTAGGAGCTTCCTGCAGCAACAGTGGACTTTAATGGTTCTTTCTCCACCCCCAGTCCCTCCACAGTTATCCTAACACAGGGCTGTCAACTAACTTTGCTGCAGAGTCCAAGTTAGTCTGCAAACCTTTTAAAATTACATTCTCCAAACTGCACAGCCATGCCTAAGTGCATTTCCCGGGGGAGAGTGGCCACTGCGACTCCCCACAAAGGTAAAGTACCTGTATCTTAAAAGGCAGGAGAATTAGAGTCATTCAAGTCTTCCCCTGCTCTCTCTGTAAGCTTTGGGGCACAGAGCCCAGGATGAGCAATGATTCACAAATACATGCGACAATTAATTCCACTTGATTTAAAAAAATTTCCCATTAACTACTACTTGGGAATGACTAACCCAACCATCTCCTATCAGGCTGTGAGTGAGCAGCCCCTACTCCATGACTCCTGGTCCATCCTAACACCTCACCCCCCAGGGTTCAGGATGGGGACAGACACCATCACCGTCCATATCAGTGGGTCCTGTTCTGAAAGGTGCTAATACTTACTGAAGTGATCCTGGATCTTCAAAAGCAGGGGCAGCTTATCCACTTCGATCATGTTGAAGGCAAGGCCCTTTTTCCCAAAGCGCCCTGTTCGCCCTATGCGGTGAAGGTAGGTCTCGTAGTCCGGCTCTTCTGCTTGGTTTACAGGGAGATCAAAGTTCACAACGATTGTGACTTGCTTCACATCAATCCCTAGAAGAGGAAAGACACTGTAGGGAGCCGCAACCTTCTCCTTTTGTACACAGAGACTCAAGAACCACATTTGCTGAGGGAATTCTCATTCATTTCTAAATCAAACCTGGTTATACATAATTGAAATAGGTGCTTCGGTGAGGCAGTTTGCTTGCACAGTATGTGATGCAGGGTATGAGTGTCAGTAAAGCTAATTCTATAGAATTCTAAGCATGGATAAAGAAAGTATATGTGCACGTGCATGCACCTGAGTGGGTGCGTGTGTGTGCATGCGCGTGCATGTACCAGCTGTGGGAAGGAGCTGGCACCAAGCCAACAGAGCCAACTCCCCATCCTTGACACCTGCTGTGCTGAGTCACCAGCAGCCCCCTTACTCCTTAACAGGGACCCCGCTCCATTCCATTCCACAACCACTGATTTAGTCACGACTCTATCTCCTGCCTCAGCTGTTACAATTTCCATACTGGTCTCTCTTTGTTCTTCTACTCCTGGGATGGTCATTGTGGTGATGTCCAGAACACTTGTGTGCAGAACCCCAGTGCCCAAATTGACAGGAGAAAGGACAAGCATTTGAAGACTTCAAAGCCACCTAAAGTTTCCTCTCCCACTCCCGACTCACAAATCCAACGCTACCATCGCATGGTCTTGCCACTTTCCAACAAAACTCTAAGTGCTCCCTGAACTGAACTGTTAACCTTCCTTCAAAGCCTTTCAAATCTGAGGTTTCCTAGGAAGACTTCTGCCATTGGCCAGTGCCTCCCTCCCCCAGCACTAACGAACTACCTGTCTGGGGAAATCGGTGTCCCCTTGCACTGTGCTCTGCCTCTGGGGCTCTTTGTGCTCCTTCCTGCAGGGGCTGTGCTGCTCGGTGTGGTACCATTACCCTACGGGGCTACTGAAATTTATTCAAGTGAAGAATTCAGTTCCTGAGTTGTCACAACAGCCACATTAAGTGCTCCACAGCCACATATAGATAGTGGTGACCAACTGGACAGCATGGCACAGAACATTCCCGTCACTGCAGAAAGCTCAACTGGACCACTGGTCGAGAGAGCCCAGAGTTGAGGCAGCAAATTCCTGAGGGGCATTTTTTTCAGGCTCCTCTTCGCTGAGCTCAGCCTGCACAGTGGGTGCTCAGCTCCATGTGCTCAACTGAGACTGAATTAGAGAACAAAACTTGAATATGGGGCCAAGACAGGATATAGGAGAGATGAAGACAGAAGGTTCTTCTCTTGAAAAAATAAAGATGTTTCTCCTCAATTGTCAAGAGTTTTAAAAACACCTCAGAGATGGTCAATATTATGAATCATTCAGGAACACAAGTTAAAAAACCAAGTAGATACCACACGCACGGATTACAATGGTCAAAATTAAAGAGTGACATTACCAATTGTGAGCAAGGACTCAGAGCAACCAGAACTCTACCACATTGCTGGTGGAAATGAAAACATCTACACAAGACCTATACATGAATGTTTATTAGTTTTATTCAAAATAATCCCCAAATGAATAATACAAATGTCCATGAACTAGGGAATGGATGAACTAATCACGATACACCTATAAATACTACTCAGCAATAAAAAGGAATGGGCTACTGAGAAATATAACATCACTGCTGAATTTGAAAGCATTCTGCAAAGTTGGAAAAGTCAAACACACACATTATCTACTATATGATTTAATTTCTAAGACATTCTGGAAGGGACAAAAAAACAGAGACAGAAATCTGGTCAGCAGTTGCTGGGGTATGTGATAAAAGGAAGAGCTTGCAAAGGAGCACAAGAAAATTTTGGCAGGATGAAAATGAGAATTCTGTCTTTTGATTACCGTGAGGGTGATAGGAGTATATTTATCAAAACTCATTGCCCTTCATATGTCAAGAGTCAATTTTATCATATGTAAATTACATCTCAATAAATTTGACTTTATCACACACACACGCACACACGCACACATACCTCGAGCACAGACATTGGTTGTTATAAGAACTTTCTCTTTCCCATCCCGGAACCTCTGGATGATGGAAGCCCGCTGGTCCACCGTCAGCTCGCCACTCAGCAAGGACACCTGGTGGCCATCTTGCATCATCTCCACAGTTAACCACTTGGCATTTCGACGAGTCTAGAGGAAAAAAGCAAACCTGAGCAAAGCAACCCAAGTGAACGCAGTGTGCTTGCAAGGCTGTGTCTGCAGTGCTGCTGCACACAGGTGGAGCATGGGGAAGGCTGCAGAGTTTGTCCTCATATCTCCCCCAGTTCAGAGAAACCTGCAGCTGGCATGGCACACTCCCTCCACTGCGCAGCTAAGGGTCACACCTTCTCGACCTGTTAAAGCTCTGGCTTCTCTGCCGTGAAACAGACATAAAAATGCTCTACCTGCTTCACATGGTAGTATGACAACAAAATGAGATAATAACACCACCACCAAGTACTTTCAGGTGCTTCGCGCTGCCAGGCATTCTGCTAAAATCTCTACTTGCATCATAGTCATTTGTTTTCACAACACTGACAAAGCAGTAACCTAAGTTCATTTAAAAACAAAACAAAACTCATAAAGATGTTAAATAATTTGCTCAGAGCCAGTTCAGGGAGAGCCCAGCTTTCTTATTCTAGATATGTTCGCAGCACTGCCCATGTACCAGGCAGGTCACATAAAACATCAGGTAGCAAAAAATACCAAAAAAAAAAACCTAAAATAGGGTGATAGTAACTGGGTGGCTGCTTTACTCACTATAAGTCAGGAATAATAGAAACCATTTTTAACTTGACAAAGGGTATCTGTAAAAACCCAGTAATAAACAGCAACTAAAATGGGGAAGTGTTTGAATCAATCCCTCTCAGATAAGGGGGCCCTCCATGTAACAGCATACTGAAGTCTAAGTTTTACTCCTAAGATACAACAACTGCGAACTTCATCCGTACTCAGAGTTGCTCTGAAGACTGAACTACATAATGTGCATAGGACTGAATGTGGTGTCTGGCACTTGGTGCTTATTAGCACTGCTGTCCCCCCACCTCCACCTGCGGGGAATTTGGGGCACAAGAGACAGTGCTCAGCACAGTCACCTGGCAGAAGATGATGGCCTGACCGATGGTGATGCCGCCGTAAATATTGCACAGAGCCTGGTATTTGTCTTTCCGGTTCTCGCACAACACATAATACTGTCGGATGTTGTTCAAGGTCAACTCCTCTTTACGTAACTTGATAACATTAGGGTCAGGAATGATGCGCTCCGCAAATTGCCACACAGAGTCCTCAAAGGTGGCTGAAAAGAGGAGCATCTGGCACTCAGAGGGTAAAGCTCTGTGGGAGAGAAGGGAGGAGGCCATCAGCTCATGGCTGTCCCATCACGCTCCTCAGAGGCACCCCCACTGCCAGCAGCTGCCCCTCACACACCTGCAGCAACAAATCACCCTCCTGTTTGCTCTCTCCTGCTGGCAAGAATTTGGAAGACTACCTAAACTGGACATGCATCTCACCAGCAAAGTTTAGATGTGTGCTCCGGGGGAAGGGGGCTGATGGGGGAGGGGAGGCAGGTTTGAGGTTTTCCCTGCTAATTTTCTCAGCAGAAGCAGAATCATGGAGTCAGGGGTGTTATTCTAGAGGTTTGTTGCAGTAACCATCTCACATGAAGTGAAATGAAAATGAAGAGAGTAGGAAGGCTAGTCCCTCTGTGACAGCTGTAGTATTTCTTCGTAGGGCAAAAACAACAGCCACAACTGACTATTTGGAATAGAGAAGAACCTGAAAGTGGGAACTTCAGCAGTAAAGACAAAAGGAGCAACAGACCCTGTAATTTCTCATGTCACAGGATGGAAATCTGGGAAGGATGAATGTGAAGATTACCTTTGGATACGAATGCTCTGATCTGAGAATCCTTGTGTGTCAATCATCACATCTGCCTCATCCAAGACAAACACTCGAATCTTAGCCAAATCTATTAATTTTCGCTTGAAACACCAATCTAGGACAGTCCCAGGAGTGCCGATTATAATCTGTTTGGTGATGTCGGTGCCTCTGGGAACTATACGAAAAGGGTTTAAAGGGCCTCTTTATTTTTTTTTTTTTTTTTAATATTAAATTTTATTTTTATATTCCCCCATACAATTGCAAACGCCCCATTCTGATCCCAATCCTTCCCCTCCCGCCCCCCACCCCCCAACAAGTGTCTCTGGTTCATAGTTTTTTGTTGATTTTGATTTTCACTTTCTTATATTCATTTTCCTGGTCCCTTATTTAAGTTTTCTAGATTCCTGCTATGAGTGAGACCATCCGGTATTTTTCTTTTTCTTTTTGGCTTATTTCGCTGAGCATGATCCCTTCCAGTGCCATCCATGTTGCTGAAAATTGCATGTGTTTATCTTTTTTGAATGCTGAGTAATATTCCATGGTATATATGTACCACATCTTCTTGATCCAGTCATCTATTTTTGGGCATTTGGGTTGTTTCCAAAGCTTAGCTATTGTAAACAGTGCTGCTATAAACATAGGGGTGCAGGTGCTCTTTGGAATTGATGTTTCTGTGTCCTTTGGGTAAATACCTAGGAGTGGAATTGCTGGATCATATGGAAGCTCTATGTTTAGTAGGTCCAGAAATCTCCACACAGCTCTCCATAGTGGTTGGACCAGTTTGCACTCCCACCAACAGTGCACAAGAGTTCCTTTTTCTCCACATCCTCGCCAACATTTGTTGTTGCTAGTTTTTTTAATATGTGCCATTCTCACTGGTGTGAGATGGTATCTCATGGTAGTTTTGATTTGCATTTCCCTGATTACAAGTGATGTTGAACATTTTTTCATATGTCTGTTGGCCATTTGCATTTCCTCTTCAGAGAAGTTTCTTTTTAGCTCTTCTGCCCATTTTTTGACTGGATTATTTTCTTTGTTGTTGCTGAGTCTCATCAGCTCTTTGCAGATTTTTGTGATCAGTCTAAAGGGCCTCTTTAGATCCAAACAATCTAAAGCCCACAATTCAGGGCAGAGAAACAGAGAACTCTTCAGCAAAAGGACACTTTGTAGTGATTTTCCAAGTTCAATCCCTGAGGACCACTGTGGTTTTTGATTTTGCAGAGTTGAGAATAAATTTCCAAGTTTCTTGGTTTATGGTTAACAAGAGTGGTCCTACATACTTAATTCTGTCCCATGGTCATTTAAAAAAACCACCCTTCATCAATCCCACTGTGCCCCAGAAATTCTGGCATACCTGTGAAAAACCCACAAAAACCCCTTCCCTGGAGGAAAATAACCAAACTGTCCATCCGAAGATTACGTCCAATAAATCATGAGACCGTATGCAGCTGGTCCAAAGAATGAGGTGGAGCTGTACGTGATGACATGCAAAGAGGTCTAACACATGTGTGTTTCTGAACAGTATTAAAAAAAAAAAAAGCTCCCATTTTTGTAAGCAATGAAAACATATGGGCATTTGTTTCTGTGTGAGCACACACACAAAAAGCAAACAGCAAAGATCTGTTAACAAGGCTGCTGTTATCTTTGAAAAATAGGTTTCTGGAGGACAGGCAGAACTTTCACTTTTATCTTCTAATTTTGTTTTAAGGATTTTTTTTTTGATATATATATATATATATATATATATATATATGTAATACTTGAACAAAAAATTAAACACGTATGATACGTTGTTCTATACAGACAACTGAGTCTCAAAGGCAAAAGTGTGGGATGTGCCCTGAGGCAGCCAATGTTCTCTGCGTCCCTATTATGTGGCAGGTCCTCTGCACAGTGCTTTATCTAGATCATTTCATTGAAAGCTAGAAACACTTCTGGACATAGGTGCTACTACCTCCCCCATCTTAGAACATGCCTGTTGGCAGTGAAGATGAAAACTGTCAGCCAGGACTAGCTTCTGGTACTTACTTCTATTCCCTCGAATGGCATACATCACTTGAACATCCACACAGAATTTTCCCATCCGTTCAACCACACGGCCAGTCTGCAGAGCCAGTTCATAAGTAGGAGCCAGGCAGAGGCACTGTGAGACAGAAAAGCGGGGAGGAGAAAGGTTCATACAAACCATCCTTTACATTTGAAACACAATTAAAATTTGTACAGGGACAATGCACAGAAATAAGATGGGACATTAAGTTATTTTAAATTAAATACAATTTAGCAGCTGACAGATCTAATGCAAATGTTGAGATTTCGAGGGAGAAAGAGCGGACAGATGGAGAAATAGCTATCTTTTACATATTCCTCTCTAAGGCTTATGAAGAAACGGAGACTTTTTTGGGTGGGGGAAGAATAGAATGGAAGGAGTCTGTGAATTAGAAAAAGAGGGAATACAAGGTGAAAGTCCCAGCACCGCTTGCCTGCAATCACAAGTCTATTTCCAGAACACTACCTGCTTGATCCATTCATCTTACAGAACTCTAGCTGAATATCCTCTCACACTCTCATTGATTATTTCCACCCCCCCCCCCAAAAAGGACAGCTGTTGATGAATGAAAATGTTGATGAAAGAAACTGGTGATATTTAACATATTCATGTCTTAATTAAGATCTGAGAGAAGAGGGGTAAACATATCTGAAAGTGCTAAAAATAGTTCCTACACACGTTTTCCATGTGCCCAGTTTTTCCCAAAGAATTTGTGTTTATATTAACCCTTCCCCCCAAATATTTTTTTAACTGAACTTGTCTAAAGAGAGCCCAAGATTCCACATGCCTGGCATTAGTCAACCACACCACAGATTATCTTGCTGATCAGACTGCAGATTTCCTGGGAGAACAGAACGCTTGCTTTCCCTCACAGCATGGAGTGTACGCAGGACTCAGCATGACAGAAGAGTTGATGAGGACAGTTTGGAGGAAGTGGAAGAGATTACCAGATACTTCCCATAACTGGAAGGTGGACTAGGAGAATGGCAAGCTCGTGCCAGAGCTTCCTCAGTCTCTCCCTGACATGTGTGACCTTACACAGGACAATTTCCTCGCCAAGCCTCAAGCTTCCTCCTCTACAAAATGAATAAGGTGATCATGTAGTCCTGTAACTACAGAGTTATCAGTATTGCTTACTTTATGCCAGGCACAGTGCTAAAATGTACACTATTTCATTTAATAATCTTATAAGGCACATTCATGCATTCATTCATTCACTGCTTACTGTGTTAGGAATCAAGGGTGAACAAAACAATGATCCTTGCCTTTATAAAGGGTATCTTTACAGAAAAGGAAATAGACTGGGAAAAGATTTACAAACTCATATAAGACATTCAGCTAGTAAGTAAGTGAAGAGGTTGAGCTTGGAATCAAACTATGATGAAACTTGTGCTCTCAATCACTGTCCCATCTGCTGTCCAAAAGTGCTAGGACTTTATGAAGAAATGTCTATTCTAAATATACTATCATAGTGATCATGCCATTGCAACAACATCATCAATCACTAAGTTATCACTGGCATTGCAAACACTCCCTCTCTCTCTCTCAGCCCTTCCTTACCTGTGGAAACAATTCCAAGGCATTAACTCTGCTTAGCATTGCCAACACAAACGCAGCTGTTTTTCCTGTTCCAGACTGGCTCTGGGCTATGAGATTTTGGGGTCTGTAAAAAAGAGGAGACCACTGGACATAAACTGAATATAAGACCCTGGGCATAAACTGAACAAGCAAGACTGAAAATAACCAAGTTAGAATACCACTACCCTGGAAACTCACGGATGTGCTAGCATCATAGGGAGAGCCATCTCTTGGATTTTGGATGGTCTATTAAAACCCATTGCATAGATCCCTTTTAGTAACTCTTCCTTTCTGTCAAACAAAACAAAACATGAAAAGCTCCGATTGGCCAGCAGTCTCAGAAATACAAACTTGAAAGGTACATTTCTAAATTAAACTACTTGGAAACGTCCAAATATTTAGAAATACACAGTTTGTATCTCAACTCCCAAACATACACAATCATGCCTGTACAAATGAGCCATTACAATAAATAATGCGATAAGCCTCGGCTAGGCAGTATAAGAGTCTAACATTGGAACTTTCTGTTGCAACAAGCAAAAAAAGGAAAACATCTTGACAGATTATGCTCATTTGTTGGGGGAGTTTTCTTTTCCACATAAATGAAAAACTAATCAGATTCACTGTTTAATTCTTTTTACTAAATGACAAAATTTTAACAGCAATTTTCACAGAAGGCAATTTGATTGAGGTGATTCTCTAGGAACAGAGAGAGTCAGTATTTTGTAAACATATCTTTCCCGGAGTCTCCAGTTAAATGTTAGGAAATGGCTGGGCATCGGGATTTTGGATTTTCCCCCTTCACAGCAAGTCCTCATCAGTATCTCTCCCTGTTAAAATTCATTTCATTACTGTCAATTGATAAATCCCTAGGAGATGCAAACCAATTTGTTAAAGTTACTCATTTTAATATCATCTGAAACAAAATATAATTAGCAAGGTTACAGTCTGTAACTTATCAAGAATGGGCAGGGAAGATTTGGGTTGTCACTGTCCCTATGGTTATATTCTGGTATGGACAGTAGCAATATGGTTTCGCTCTCTGGCTTAGCTATCCCCCTTAGCACAACAGCATAAAACACTTTATCATCAAAGATGCTCTTAATTCTCTGGACTGCTCAGGTAGCTAGTGTTCCTCTCCGAGCTAGATTTTAACTGCATGCAAAATGCACACATCTCATTTTAATACATGCTTAGGACATGAAGAAGACCCTGATGTTTTTTATTATTAGCAAATGAGTTTGTTCTGTGCTATGCTTTCCAGCATTTTCCCATACGGAAAGTAAAAGTACTCACAGCCGCAGCTCTTCAAATGTTTTCACCGAGTAGAGCGGAGAGCTGGGATCCTTTTGTAAGACTTCAACTCGGTGACTGGATTCTACTAAGGACTGCCGGATTAACTTGTTTAGGAGTGAATTAGCTGCCAAATCCACTAAAAAACAAGCAAGAATAAAAAAGGGGCTCTTGCAGGGGGGAAATCAAGATGTCCGGATGACATCTATTAAATTGCTCCCTCCCTTTCAGTGCTTGCATATGTATGAAACAATTGCACCTACTCTCATCTTCTAAAAGAAGATTCTAGGAAAAAAGCCCAGAAAAAAACTTTTTCCACTAGCACCCAGTGTCTAATGCTCTGCTGCCACACCCTCTAACCTCAAGCAAGCCCAACATCAGCAGCAGCAGCAGACCTAATTTTTCCTTATCAACTGAAAAATGTTAACCATGCTTGCATATTCAATCATTTCAACTTCCCCTAAACAAATAGTCCCCACTTCTGACTCAGTATTTCTTTTGACAGTCACTATAAAGAAAATCTCCTACCTACATCATCTTCATCATCTTCTTCCGTGTTGTTAATAGAATCATCTAAAAATATGGGAAGAGAAACAAGAAAAGATGAAAGCCGAGCAGCGGTATAAAGTGTATTACCCCACTTTCTCGTGCCACTGTACCGTGCTCTCAGACAGGAAGGTAGTGGAGAGTCCTGAATGTGAAAATAAGGGAGCCAAAGATACTTCAGTTGTTAGGGAAGGGAGGCAAACAACGCATTCTAATTACTAGAGGTCACCTGCTGCACCCTAATAGCACTCACCTGCGTTTGGGACTGTAGTACTCTTAATACCCCGAAGGTTCTTCCGGGGGTGGATGAGGTTTGAAAACTATTGAAAGACACAAATGTCAAGCAATATTAGGAAGCGAGCCATCAGCAGCCCGGGGCTCTCCTAACAGGGGCAGGGAGGGATGCAGGAAAGACCACCTGAACACTGTTTGCTTTGCAAGAATAGGTCTCCTGTAGGAACCAAAACTGCGGGAGCCTTTCCGCGTCCCCGGTACGTGAAGCTCCTCTTTATGAGGCCTCAAGACTAAATGCCGCAGTCCTTAGGGGTCACAGCACGAACAAGGGATGGAGGCCAGTAAAGCGCTTTGGTAGATAAAAAGGAAGCTGGCCAAGGCGAAAGATCAAATTGGGAGAGTAGAAAACTCGGGGTTCTACTTGGGGCTACGAACTGCTTTCCCTCCCGGGCATCCAGGTGTCTTCACGTCGCCCTTTCAAACCCAAGAGCTCTCCCCCGGTCTCCTTACCCGTGGCCCTCTTCCAAATCCTTGCCACATCTCCCCTCCGCCATTTGACACCCCACTCCACAGGCTAGCGGGGCTCCCCCTCCCCTCCCCAGCAAATTTCCCTCAGGGAGTGCGATTCTAGCCCCCGCCCCTCGGCCCTCCCCGCCTCGGTGGCGGTTACGTGGCTGTTCAGCCGCTCGCTCTCCGCCGCCCCAGCGTCGCCAGCCCAAAGTAACGACGCCATAGCTGCGGCCGCTGCTCCCGCCCCCGGCACGTGCGTCCACGGCAGGCGCGAGGCAGGGCGCGGCCCGGCGGCGGCCAATCGGCTTCCTCAGGGGGCAGGCCCGCGCCCCGCGACCACCGCGGCCTGGCGCGCAGGCGCCTGAGGGGAGGGCGGCGGAAGGGGGGTCGGGGGAGGGGGGAGTTGTGTTGATGCCACAGGGTTCTGCTTGGCCAGCCCCCCACTGCTCCAGGTGTTCGAAACCCAGGTGAGGGCGCTGTGGTAGTGGGCGTTCGCCGGCTGGCGGACTGGGGCTAAGCCAACAACGGCTTGGGGCTGGAAGCTGCAGAGATCTTCCTAGTGATCCCGGAGTCCTGACTCTCTCATCCCACCGTCCCACCAGCTATTCTCCGGGTGGTGCGGGTGCAGTTCCTCTCCTCTCTTCAAGTTCGGGTGTCCGAGTTGCTCCCGAAATTCCGCTTCTACACTGCAAGGTAGCAGGAAGGCAGCTAATTGCATGGGATGTTGGAGGGTCAGAGTGGGTGAGTTACCTACAAATGTATTCGGAATAGAAAGATGCGTAGAGGACGTTTTCAAGTTCTATGTCCCTATTCCTAGATAATTGTGATGTTGCCACAGTTGCACATACCGACTTTACTTTTAATTCTGGTGTGTGCCCCTTGTTAGAGCCACACTGAAAAAAATTGTTTTCCTTGCTGTGCAACCTCCATTTCCTTCCTCCACGTGCATAATCCGGGAGAAGTTCTTCGTGCTTCTGACTGCTAAGTTTGGAAAAGGAACCAGGTGTTTTCAGTTTTCTGACTGCAATCCTAATGTATCAGTGCCGCCGGAAAACCTCACAAAAGCCTAATCAAGATCTCTCCGTGGTGCTGAAGCAACCGCCCCAGTTCTGTTTCGTCAATCGCAGGCACCTCAATCTTTTGTTTTCAGGTTAGCACATTCTTTTCGGTCTTGATATGTGGATTCCAAAGGTAAATGTTTTCTCTCTTAATGGTGTCTTTCTACTAAATTAAATAGGTGTAAAATCGGGCCAGGTTTTTTAACCTTAGTTTCCCTTTAAGGATGGCAGACGTTAGAAAAATTACCACTTTTCTATTATTTTATTGCACTAAAATTCATTCTATCTTTTATTTTTGTACTGCCACAGGCCCCAGATTCTACCTTGTTGCAAGTGGAGAAATGGTGGACACACAAACACGCACACACACACGCACCCACGCGCTAGCACCCGGCCTCCCGGCTCTTAGAACTACATTTCCCACAAAGGTGTACTACATCTCCCATGAGCCCTCGGGCGCGCGCAGACGACGCAAAGCGACAGCTTCCTGTGTCGCGAAAAGTTGCGTGGCTGACTACCGGAAGGTAAGTGTGGGGGTCGTGGGCGCGTTATTTCTTAGATTCTACAAAGAACAGGCGAGTGGATAAACAGCGCGACGGTTCTTTCTCTCTCTTTCATCCCACCCCTTTTCACCATTCTCTGTTCTTTTCAGAAAGCACAGGAATGGAACCTCTTAAGACCATGTGTTTCTGTCTGGTGCTTCTTGGAACTGGTTCCTGGCAGGAGCTCGCAGTAGGGAGTATTTAAATTCGATTCATAGAGGATCCCTGGCTGTGGGTTTGTTTCTGCTACCTCCAAATTAGTTTGCTTATAAAACTAAATTCTAGTAGAGGTCAGGATCTCAGTCGTATGGGCAGTGGGAAGGAGGGGTGGCGACATTTTTCAAATTGTTTGGGGGCTTGCTTTCTATATTAGTGATCATTGTGTCTGTCTCCCCGTCCTTTGGATAACATTCTGGAGTTCGAAATAAAGTCTGTCGTAGGGAATGCTCTTTCTAGTGTTCCAGTGGTCCCTGCTACTTTCGAGACCAAAACCCTTTAACTTCAAAAGCTGTATTGCAACTCTAACGATGGGTAAATAGGCAGCCCCTTCTATGTTTGCTAGAGAACCATTGTACTTCACCCCAGAATGGTGTGGTGTGCTTGTGAAAGCACTGTAAAGTATGTGATGCAAATGAGTGATGTAGCCAAAACTCTTGAGTTCAAGAGTTTTGAACTCAAGCCCTTTTTTCCACAAAATTTTATTACCCACTTAGCCCCTCTGGGCTACTAGTTTTTTGATTAAATAGGAGTTCAACTAAATAAGGAAACTGATTTGACATTAGTATACTGAGACCCATATAAATACACGTAAACCACAAGAGTTTCGCTGTAATTCGCATGTAAAAAACACATGTGGTTTTCAACTTAAAAAATAGAAAACTAGGGCCTCCCCCGTGGCGCAGTGGTTGAGCGCTGGGTTGCGAGGCTGCCTGCAGCCTCTGCAGCACTGGTTCGATTCCCGGCCACCGGGTGAGGGTCCCACATGGCGCACAGACCTCTCCTGCCGCCCGCTGCTCCCCTCAGCAGTGTGTTTCGTCAGTCTGCCTGTTCTGTTCCCTGCTCTGCCTTGGTGAATTCTCTCATTCTCCTGCGCTTTTGACTGTACCCAGTGCTTGTATAAATGCATAAATAAATAAATAAATCTTTAAAAAAAAAAAAAAATAGAAAACTAAAAAAAAAAAAAAAAACTGCCTTTAGCCCCACCATTGTTAGGTTTATCATTCCTTGTTACTTGTATTTATTGGGTGTGTTATGCAACGTTTCACTTGCATTTTCCTGTTTCCTGATTCCCAATGATTAATATTCTAATGTCTTTAACCACTTCACTATTGGAGTTTAATTTGCAATGAATATAGCCTAAATGCCTTGCAGTGGAACTGAGCAAATGAGTGATGTAGCCTAAATATTATGTAGAAAATTTAGCAGATACTATTAAGGTCACTCAGTTTCATGTTACGCAGCTGTTTTTTCTTAAACAAGCAAACTTTCTGCTGTCACTATTATAGCTTCAAACGCTAAAACTGAGAACGTCCAGATTTTAGATGTTCCTCATTGGATTAGAAGCAAGGTCCAATTTAAAGTGAGCAGATTAACTTTGAGTCTGTACTCAAATAGGACTGATTCATTTTGGTATTGATCGCTGCATCTGATTCCAGATTTTTGTAGTTTGAAGTTCTGTTGCAGAGTAGGAATAACTTTCAACCAACATGCACAATTTCTAGAAAATTATGAAGTTATTGCAGAAGTACCAGCTAAATGGCAAAACATTACTGAAAATAATTCTGAAACCATGGATTAAAATACTGTATATCTACTTAAAAACATTCGAAAGATTTTGGATTTATTATATTCTTTCAGTATCTGTGCTGTTACCTTTCTTTAGTTAGTGAGGTATAAAGAACAGGTTTGTTCCTTTGGCTTTTGTTCTTTAGGTGGTCAGAGTATGGAGAGGAGTATGATTGAAGCAGAATCATAAGCCAGTTTTGATATCAGCATACCATGAGAAGTATTTAAGTTAAAATAAGGTCAAGTCTATGAATTTCCAAAATCCTTTAATAAGCTTAATGCCCAGCAACTTTAAAAACACACTAATAAAAACAGCAACTCACACTGGCCAAGGTAAAAAGGTTACAGAACACACAGTACTTAGTGATTTTGCTTACTAATTTGGCAAATTTTAATAGTTCTATTTTTCTCTGGCATTTCTCTTGCAATTGCTGGATTTGAGAGTGGCTATTGGAAGTTGAGGTATCTGATACCAATGTGACATATACCTACGAAAAACCAACGATGAGTGAAGTCTTTATAATGTTCCATAGGCTTCTGAGTTGTTTCTATTTAAATAAAAGGTGAGCTATAAAGAATCAGTTTATCCCAAACAAAACTGTGAGAGACAGGTTTAGGGGAAAGGAAAAAAAAAAAAAGACTTAAGAAGGAGAAAGAGGAAAGGGAAGCTTCCTGGGCATCACACCATTTGCAAGGTCACAACGAACACCCCATCGAAGTGCAGATCTTTTCTTCTCAGTTGGTACTAGATAATTGTTTGGAACATATATGTGATGAGGCTTCAGTTGGGGTTCTCGACAAAGCATCTGCTCTCGGACACCCCAACGTAATTCCTTCCTATGATCTTCACCAGGTAACCGCATTGAGTCCCAGTCTCGTTTGTACTCAAAGTATCGGGCTACCCGGTCTACCTTGCCCCGATTCCGGCTTAATTGGTCCAGCCTTGGGAGAATAAAAGACTTGGGTCGGCTGGCAACAATCAGGTCTTGTTCATAAGCCGGGGGGCCCATGCCTTCTCTTTGTAGATAGCAAATGAGCTGATCTTGAGAAATTCCTTGGTATTCACGTGGTAGGTGAAATTTTTGTGAATTATCAACTGGGGATTCCCTGTCTTCCTGGAAATGCAGACTCATCAGCCTTTGTCTTAAGTCCCAGAGATCCATATCACTTTCTGTACCAGACTCTGATTCACTCATAATCGACTCGTCAGTCACTAATACTTCCCCACCTGGCTTCCTACGCAACACCTTTCTCTTCATCACTGGCTTTCGGAGTCTGTGGGAAGACTCTGAGACTGTTTCTGAAGTGACAGTACTCTCCACGTGTGGGTACTGTGGTTGCACATGAAGAGCACACTGTGTCCCAGGGGTTACTGAAGCTTTACTGTAGGGATCATATTGGATAGACTGGGCTTCTCTCCTGACATCTCCCTCACCCTGCCCTGCACAAATACGAGTAAAAGCTGTAGCAGCTGCTAACATTCGTTCTTCTTGATCCATATTGGCCCATTTTTGTCCATCAGGCCCCAAGAGTTCTTCCATTGCTTCCCCTATACTGTAGGACCTTCTGCAAGAGAAAAACAAGGGTCAGTTTTCTGATAACAAGTTCCCAGCTCATAAATTGCTCATTCCTTTGTCTATTACTTCATAGCAGTGAAAGAGAATGGGCAAGGCAATCACAAGTACAACAGTTATATAGTACAGGATAGCATGGGAACAGTATGGAGGTGCATTAAATCAGCTCTAAGGAATCTATTACCTGATTTCATTTCCACTCTCTTCTTATTCACTCCCACTTTGTACTGCCTGGCTGTTCTTCCCACCTCTAGTAGCTCCTAGGAGGAGCTACTGACAGAAGAGTTCTGACATAAGAAAAGCTTGAGACTATATGATACGAGGTATACTGCTTAATGTATAGTATTGCTTCTACTTAAGGGGGCATTTTTTTTGTATCTGGCATTGTTCTGTGCGCTTTTACATTTATTCAAATAATCTGGCATTGTTCTGTGTGCTTTTACATTTATTCAAATAATCCCCACAATCATGGGCAGAGACTCTTATCTCCTCTTCACAGAGTGTAGTAATATGAGGCACAGAAAGGTTAAATAACTTATTCAAGGGTAAACAACTAGTAAGTGGGATAGTTGGAATTCTAACTCAGGCAGTCTGGCTCTAGCATTAATAATTTATTCCATAAATAATACAAAAGCAGTATTTTCCTATCACACCCACATGTATATATATGTGTGCAAACACTCCTATGCTTAAGTAATCTTAACATATCTTCAGTTGCCAAGTATGTTTATTCCAATGCCCTATCACTGAAAGGACTTTAGTACCCACATCAACCAACCAATACCTAAAGCTATTTTCTGAAGTCAATCTAAGATAGGTATCTACTGCCTACTATTTCCTGTGTCCCTACTATTTTTCTTTAACTGAAGAATTAACATATGTGCATGCTGATTTTAAACACTCTTAAAGGCAGCTTCTCATAATTTCCCTAGTAATTTTTATATTCATATATACATTTTTTATACCAGAAAATCATATTATAACTTTTCTGAACTTTCAAGATTGTCTTGATGATCCAACTACATCAGCACCAGTAGAACTGTGCTGTCCTCAAATTACTGAAAAATCCCAGTAACTTTGATACTGACATCTTAACTACAACATGCATTTTGACTCTTGTGACTGTTAGAGGTACAAAAATCTTATCAGGACATGCATTAAATTTGAATTTCAAAGGATCATGATGCATAGTTACCTTCTCTGTGCCATCAAAACTACTTAAGCAGGAAAATCTCGTCTCCAGGTTCTACTTCCAATATGAAGTACAATCACAGCTTCTTCAATTAGGCTAGCTTCTTACGCACCACCTTTAAGACAGGACTGAGTATTGGATGATGGAACAAAGAAAGCCACTAATTTTATCTGAAATACTGGAAAGCATTAAAAATAGCAGATTTATTCCATGTAGAGATTATTATTTTTAAAATTGGGCAAATAGTCAAAAAGATGTCAATCATCTATCTAATGAAGACTAGAAAAATTAAGTCTAAATTTCCCCCAAATTGTGATTATTGTGATTACTTAAAAGAAATTTTGGCAATGCTGGCATAGGTGAGTATTTTTTGATGCCATTTTTCTGTTTCCTATAAGTTGGCCAGATTGGATAGCAAACAATAGATGGTCAACCCAAAATGCTAAGGTTATTTTTGCATCCCTGAGCAGAGGCATTAAATATTAGATACTATTGGAACATAATGGAATGATAGTGACATCACCAAAGAAATCAACACTGAAACTTGAATACTTTCACTCTTTTCAGGTGGCGTGGACCTGTATGGATTGTTTATTCTTATGGTGGTCTTATCATGGCTGAAAATGACAAAGACAAAATCCAGATTGCGAAGCTCCTAAAAAGAGTACAAGAACTGGAGAAGGAGGTACAAAGACTTAAAGAAGAACAAGCCAACAACAAGGACTCAAACACCAGAGAAAATTCCTCAGGAACTAGAAAAGCTAAGCGTTCATTTGATTACAGTGCTCATGGTCGAAGACATATAGCCCTAAAGATAGCCTATCTGGGCTGGGGATACCAAGGCTTTGCCAGTCAGGAAAACACAAGCAATACAATTGAAGAGAAACTGTTTGAGGCTCTAACTAAGACTCGTCTAGTAGAAAGTAGACAGACATCTAACTATCACCGGTGTGGGCGAACAGACAAAGGAGTTAGTGCCTTTGGACAGGTAAGAGTCAGTAGTATACTGTTTCCAAAGCAACAGGTATTCTCAGTGTATATACTGAGGATTATTTGTGTCTCTAAAATATAGTCTCTCTTAATTCCACAGGTGATTTCTCTTGACCTTCGTTCTCACTTTCCAAAGGACAGGGATTCAGAGACTTTTAATTTAAAAGATGAAATTGCTAAAGAGATCCGTTACACCCACATTCTCAATCGAGTGCTCCCTCCAGACATCCGTGTACTGGCCTGGGCCCCTGTAGAGCCTAGCTTCAGTGCTAGGTTCAGTTGTCTTGAAAGGACTTACCGCTATTTTTTCCCTCATGCTGATTTAGATATTGTAACCATGAATTATGCGGCTCAGAAGTATGTTGGGACCCATGATTTCAGGAACTTATGTAAAATGGATGTGGCCAACGGAGTGACTAATTTTCAGAGGACTATTCTGTCTGCTCAAGTACAGCGAGTGGGTCAGAATCTGAGTGAGGAGAGATGGCAAGAGCCTTTCCAGTTATGTCAGTTTGAAGTGATTGGCCAGGCATTCCTTTATCATCAAGTCCGCTGTATGATGGCTATCCTTTTTCTGATTGGCCAAGGATTGGAAAAGCCTGAGATTATTGATGAGCTACTGAACATAGAGAAAAATCCCCAGAAACCTCAATATAGGTAAGTTAAAAGAACCCCCCCCCCCAAAAAAATAAAACCACATAAAAACAAACAGCTATTGTCCCTGGCATGCATATATATATATATATATATATATATATACACACACACACACACATACACACTACTTTTAATATGAGTTTTTCCTCTCTCCCCCCCACCCCCGCAACGGGGAGGAAACTTAGGGAAAGTTCTTAGTCTATATGACTAAGTAATTGATTCTGTCTTTATGCAGCTTTTTATCTAACTTGTACAATGTTATAAACAGGCAGGAGGCAGTGTATCCTTTAATTTTCTCACTGTTCTATCCCATTAGTAAGGAAATGGATATTTGTAAAAGGCCCTGTAAATAAAAGAGCATTCATTTTTACATCCTTTTTCCCGTAACTTGTACTAAGAGTTACTTTGTTAGTTTCTGGTGAACTTAAAAAAAAAAGCATTCAAACTATTCACATTAAATCTTGCTAACTTTTTATTACATAGTAATCGTATTGCTGTACTTTTGAATTTTTCCTAATTTTTAGTTTCTGAAATGGTAGGAAAGGCATAAAGAATAGTCAGATTTTTCTTTTGAGAGCAGGCTGAAGTCAGATAGACCAGTAATTCATTCCTAAGTAATGAAATCTAGTTTTTACTTCTTTCTATACAAAATTGACAAGCTTAGAAAAAATACCACCAGCTGTTTTTCATTTTATGGCAGTGTAAAAGAGCCAAGTCAACTCACTTCTAGGTGATTTCTTACCACCGAAATTTACCCTAATTAGATTAGCCAAAACAGTTCTTAGTTTGCTGCCTTTTTCTTTTGTTAATTATAAGGTTGTTCAAGGTTAGGGATTGTGTTGTATTTTCAAATGTTTATTGAAACATTATAAACATTTTTTGCCCTCTTTTTAATCCAACTGTTTTCAAAAATCTGTTGAATGGCTGCTATGTATTCTCTGTTTCTTCTCTTTCTCTAGTATGGCTGTAGAATTCCCTCTAGTATTGTATGACTGTAAATTTGAAAATATCAAGTGGATCTATGACCGGGAGGTTCAGGAGTTCAATGTTATCCACCTTCAACAACTCTGGGCTAACCACGCTGTTAAAACTCACATGTTGTATAGTATGCTACAAGGACTGGACTCTGTTGCAGTACCCTGTGAGACAGGTAGGACAGAGAACTTTAAGGGTAAAATTATCAACCAGAACCAAAATTATACAAGGGTTATGGGTAAATTACTTTTTGTTTGGAGGTGGTTATATTGTGGTTAAAGTATCTTATGTAATGCTTGGTTACAGGACCAAAGATGGATGGAGTGATAGAATGGAGAAATGTTAAGCCCTCTGTCATAAAGCAGACCAGTGCCTTTGTAGAAGGAGTGAAAACGCGCACATATAAGCCCCTAATGGATCGTCCTAAATGCCAAGGATTAGAATCCAGGATCCAGCATTTTGTACGCAGGGGACGCATTGAGCACCCCCATTCATTCCATGAAGAAGAAACAGAACTCAGAAAGGACTGTAATGACATGGTAGAGGAAGAAAATACTATTTTGGAGAAACCAACAAAGAGAGTCTGTGTTGACACAGAAATTAAAAGCATCATTTAACCATAGAAAACTCACCTGGATTTTGGAGGCAACAACTAGCTAGTGGTAGGTGGTTAAAAAGGAAATACAAAAAATACATATATTTACTGAAGGAAGTCCTTGCTTGAAGAAGGAAGAGATCATTCTCTCATTCTTGTCCAAATTGACGAGATGGAAAAAGCAAAAAGTAATCATGAAAGTGGAGATGTATTTATGTATACCTGAAACCTGTGTTCAAATTCATTAAAGCCTGATCCTGTGTCTAATTTGTTGTGCTGTCCATTTTAAACACAAATGAGATGTCACCACTCATCTGAATTTCCATAGTTTTGCCGATAAGTATCTTATTTTCTAAAACAAATTAAAAATTTGAAATCTAGTCAGTTAAATATTTGGTAATTGGTTTAGTGCCTGGCACATACTACCTAAAGTGACCTAACTGATAAAGCAGTTATCTCTGTTGTGTATTTTTTTACAACCTTTTACAAATGTAAAAATTTCTTAGCTCATAAGCCATACAAAAACATGTAATTTATCAACCCTGGGCTAGTGACTTAAGGAAAGTTCTTATAAACAGGAATTGCAGAGGGCCTCCCCTGGTGGCACAGTGGTTGAGCGCTGGGTTGCGAGGCTGTCCGCAGCTTCTGTAGCACCAGTATGATCCCCGGCCACCGGCGAGAGGGTCCCACAAAAAAAACAAACAAACAAAAAAAGACAGGAATTGCAGAACAAGTGGGAGCCAGTAAAGTGGGGCTAAAGAACCAGAGTTTTATGGGTCTAAGGAAAAAGATGTAGTTTGCACAAAGGGTTAGAGATTGAAGCATTTGCACTCAGGTATTGTAAAATAAAACAGTATAGCTTGAGAGTGATAAGAATATAGCTTAGGAAGGTAAGCAAGGGCCATTTTGTAAAGCCTTGAAAAAACTTAGCTTTTTACCTTGAAAGGACACGGAACAAAATTTTCTGAAAATTTAAAAGCCACAATTGTGTAGCAAAAATATTGCTCTGGGTGTACTGTGGATTAGAAGAGGGAAGATGGTGGGGTCAACTAGGAAGCTGTTGGGAGTAGTCAAGAATATAGATTATCGAAGATGGCTTAGACTGGATTTGTAGTAAGAGGACTAGAGAGAAGTGAATGAATTTGAGATTAGGAAGCAAGCTTTGTGGTTGAATAAATGTGAGGTTCTGAAGCAGGGAGCCTTTCAAGATACCTCCTAGCTTTCAGATGTAAGCACATTTGAGGCACACATAGGAAAATGAGACAGAGCTTTGACTGTTCTCAAAGTTGATAAGTGACCCTCAAAATATTACTTATAAATACCAATATTATTCAAAAGAGCTCAAAATCCTTACATAGTAACATTATCCTTTATAACAAAAATATTAAGTATCAAAGTAAATGAACTCAGATATTCTGCCTCATAATAACATGGGGGGGTGGGGAAAGGATTGGGGTCAAAATCGGGGTTGCAATTGTATGGGGAATATAAAAATAAAAAAATAAGTAAAAAAAAATAACATTATTGCCTGAAGAGGGTATTATTCACAATGATGCCACAATAATACTCAATGTTTACAAGATCTAAAGTTTTATTTATAACCAACAAATAGTTTGTTCCTCTGCCGTAAACTGTAGGTATACAAAATCTGGTTTATATACTCAAGCTGCGAGCTAACATATGACACAGGACAATGAGAAACAACCCTAATGATAAACTGATGCTGCATAAGTAATACAGAAGCTTAGTAATGGGTAGACTGTGGAAATAAGACTTCAAAGAGTTCCAGATTTAGAAGGTAAAACAGTTTAAGAAAACAGAGGTGATCTTGTAATAGTGATGAATAATAACTTTTACCATCTAGCAGAGTAGGAATAAAACCACCATTTTAGAGTTGGGGATATAGAAGTAAAATTTAGATTTATTTTAAATTGCCAATTAATATGATCCAGCTCTTCTGGAATTTGAACCATATTCTGCATTTTTGGACCTAATTTGCCAACATTTCGTAATGTTCTGAATGGTAATAAAATGTGATTGCTTTGTCCTTTTATTCTGATGTAAAGATTCTTTTGTTTTTAGTGCAATCATTAAGGACAGTAGAATATCCTCACTTAGGCATGTAAGAACAAAACAAAGCTTATTTTTCTCAACTTCATACCCATTTCAACGTACGTTGACTAGAATTAGTTTTTGAATGAAGAAAAAAAAAAACAGTTTAAGATCAACTCTAAAATGACACAGAACAAAAAGCACTAGACAGTCATCCTGGCAGATTGTGAAGCAAAGGAGTCAGCGGATCATGGTCTTAGATCTTAATAAAATCCTCTCAAGGTTAAGTATATTTCTATACTATCAAATCTAAAAGAATAAGGATTTAGGGACATTATTATTAAAATAGAAGAAAAGAAACACCCTACCAAAAAGAACACCATAATCCAAACAGACAGCAAACTAGGGGGAAGGTCTGTAACAGATTTAGAAAACTGCTAAAAGGTATAGATACTAGCAGAAAAGGGAAAAGACGTTTTACCAAAGAAATAATGAATAAAAGAATTTTTAAAAGTCTGAATCATAATCTAAACTGTACTATAATTTCCAAGCCATAATCCACTTTCAGGAACTACTGTAAAGAGATAAGTTAGCGGAGACTGCAAACTTTACACGTGCAAATAACCACTGCAATATGCGATTGTGTGAAGATGAGAAACCATGGCAACATGACCATCATTAGGGTTAAGAAGTAATGTATGGCACAAATACAGGCGGGGCCAAAAAATACCAATTCATCAATTAAAAATGATAAGGCGTTATCTAATGCTGATATCGACACATTGCCTAGTACTGGCTAAATACGGCATGACCTACCTTTAAAGTACGCCTTATGGTATTAACAATATACAATTATGTAAAAATAAACATATAGTCGTGTAAATATTCATAATGACCATGGGGGGGGGGTAACCCAAAAGTGACGGGCTTCGGGCAGAGAGTTATCAGGGGCTGAGCGACTTTCTTCTTAATACGTACCTAGTATTACCTGAATTGATTTCTGAAAACAAAAGAGATCGAGCAACTTCTAATCAGAGAAAAAAAAAAAAGGGTGATTTTCATTCTGGGACAGGACTACGGATTCCTCGATGTGACAACCACCCCAGCTCCTTCGGGGCAGAGCAGCTCCGAGCCTCCAACTAAAAGGCGTAACCAGAGGCCGCGGCGACTCTCCTTTCACCACCACCACAACAAAGCAGGAGTCGGCCCCGCCGGGCCCGGGCGTGGCTTTCGCGGCCGCCACCTCGGGGCAGCGACCCCGTAACCCCCGGCCCGTCCATCCCGTCGAGGGGCACCCGCAGGCGGGGGACGCAGAGGGGCGCCCCACGGGCAGTCGGCGCCCCGCGACCTCGAGGGCTCGGGCACGCCCAGGGCGCAGCACCTCAGCGCTCCCCCCGGCCTCGGGGGCAGGACCCCCGGATTGACCCGGAAGGTCACGGCTCCCGACGCCAGGGGCCAAGGACGCAGGTAACCGGGGGCGACGGGGGGGGGGCACAACACCCCACCAACCGCCCACAGCAGGGGGCAGGCGGCCCTTGGGGACCGGCGCCCGCGTCTCCCAGCCTTGGCCCGCTTACCGGCCCTGCCAAGGTCTGCCCGCCGAGCCGAGCGGAGCCCAGGTCCGCCCGCCGCACCGAGGCCAGCAGCGAGGCCCGCGCTGGACCGCACGCTCCAGCCGGCGTCTCCCCGCTCGCGCAGGCGCAGAAGCCACCCACGCCCCAGGCCGCCGTTAACTGCCGGGCCGCGGAGGTTTAAACCTCATGAGCCAATCGGAGCCCTCGGTCCCGCCCACGCACCTTTCTATTGGTCCCTATGGCGAACGTCTTTCCGCGTCTACATTTCGATTGGTGCACCTGTGCGCTAGGTCCTCCTCCGCGGGCGGGAGGTAGCCTGGGATGTAGAAGGTTGAGGTCGCGGGCAATAGCGCTGTGATCTAGCGGTTGCTGCGCTACCTTCGCGCATCGCGGGCGGAGAGGAACTTTTGGCCGCCAGTTAACGGCGCGCTCGTTGGGTTTTCAGAGAGGCGGCCTTAACGTTCGGCCCGCCTCAGTGGCGGCAGCCTCCGCCCTTCCCAGCGCCGGGCGGCTGTGGGGGTCGGTGTCCTCTGGAAGGGGAGGCTTTCTGCAGGCCGCCTCCTCCAGGCAGTCCACCGGGGCGCGGAGACCCGCCGCTCCCCCGCGCTGGGAGTCCGTGGCGTGCAGGATTTTCTGATTGAACCTGGTGCTGTGTCTCCAGCCTCAGCCCCTACACATTACTCTTAAACTCCGCTCCAGACTCGAGCGCTTGCGGTTTTGCTCTCGAAAGCCTCCCATTGACTCCCTTCACATGGTCTTGTTTTTTGAATATGTACCTGGGGAAGAAAGACGGGGTGCTTTGCAAAGTGCTGAGGATGAGACCTAGAAAGGAAAAGCAAGTCAATATCCCAGTCACTGCAGCGCAACGTAACCAAACTATTTGTGCTCCAAGTCGTCGGAGTTGCTTCTCCCAGTTTGCACAAATTCCCTGGTTGTCATATGCAATTTATACTATTTCTTAAATCAGGGAAAGGGAGAAATAATGTTTAATCCTTTCCTCCAAAAATGTCAGTATTACCTCTTTCTCTTACCTTGTTGCCTCAGGACCTTTGCAATACTTCTCAGGCTTCTTAGATTTATTGGGTGGAGGCGGAGTGAAATGAAGATGGCAGGAGCAGGTTGTGAATATTTGAATGACCCTTCCCCCTAGATCTCCCAACATCTCGATACTTTATTATTAACTCTATACATTTTTTCCTCCTTATGAGCAAACATCAAATGTTCAGGTTTGGTCACCTTATACCTGCAAGACTTTTTCTTTCGCGTTTGATCTCCAGGATCTTAGAAGTTTATGTTTCTTTTTATTCTATTAGTTCTGCCTCCAATTTTATTTTTCTCAATTTGTTTGTTGAAGGAACCATCTTGTTGGTTATGTGCAGTTGCCCATAATCTGAATTTTTAAAAAGATTTATTTTTATTTATTTATGCATATAGTAACTGGGGTGTAGGCCAGATGTTAAGGGGGGGTGAGAGGATCCACCAGAGACAGAGTAGGTAGCAGAATAGGCAGATCTACTGAAATACGCTGCTGAGGGGAGCAGTGGGCAAGGCAGGTGAGGTCTGCTGTGCTATACGTGGGTTAGCTTCCTGGCAGGGGATCAAACTCACCCTGCAGTGAATGGTGATAGCTTGCTAGTGCTTAGACTTAACCCCTGCAGCACCAGGGAGACCCCTCCCATAATCTGAACTTTGTGGATCACATCTAAAGGAGGTAGTTTAATGTGATTTCCTTACCTTTTAGTTGTTACACGGCTCTATTCCAGATGCTTACCTGAATTGGATCTGGCTGATTTATGAACCCATCTGCATCTTTATGGATTCAAATATTACTTTCAACTGTTGATATTGTCATGCTTAAATTAGTCACTCCTTTATGATATCTTTGCTTACCTCAGACCTGTTTGTTGACATTTTCAGACAAACTCCTTCAGCTGTAGCTCTCTCATCTCCTATCTCTAATGTTTTGAATTCTTCCCTCTTTGAATCTTCCCAAACCTGGGGAACAATACTAGCGTAAAGCAAAATGAAAACCTGTAATCCTCCTTGACACTGCTGCCCCCTCCTGTCAGCATTCTCATCCAGCCTTTCTTCCCTTTTGTCATTGCTCATTTAAGTACTTCATCATGTTATAGGACAGGGAGAGGGGCAGCCCAAGCCCCGCAAACCTGCCTATTCTAAATGGGTTCTGCCATCCGCCGCATCAACACAAAACATAGGAGACTTTAATGGGAAGGAACTTTAATAAAACTAGGAAACAATACAGGTAAGGCCAAGAGTCTAGTTTCTAAATGAAGCACCCAAAGTTACCCGTCCCCTCGTGGGTAAAAGTCCATCCAAATGGGACTGGCCCAGCGCAAGGCCCCAAGGCCTGCCACAAGTCTAAAGCATCTTCCAGTGGGGACCCACAGAAAAGGGTCACAAACAACCGGACAAGCCCGGAAGGAAAAGAGCAAAATCAACATCAAGATAAAAGCTGCCATTGTCACCTCCCCATGGGTCTCACCCACATCTGTGTCACCCAGTCCACGACCAAAAGACAAGCGCAGTTTCTTCACGTGTCTCTAGGCTCCATGTGCCTCCTCCAGGTCTCCTGGCTCCATCCTGCTTCCTACCTCAGTCTCTTCTTCAGCTTCTCCTCTTCCTGCTCAGCTCCACCCTCCCTTGGGTGGGGCAGGGAACCTCCCCCTTTCCTGGGGACCACCCTGTTACAATCAGAATATTCAAACTGTATTCTCAAGGGTCACCAGCTTCTTTTTAATAGTCAACTCCAGTTATTTTGCTCAGCCCTCATTCTCTTTTTTGAGAGTATTTTACTTTTTTTGAGAGTATTTGATCATTTATCCAGCAAATACATATTGAACTCCTATGTTAGATACTATGCTATATCTTAGTGATTTGATGGTGAATAAAGACACAGTTCCTGTCCTTATGAAACTTCCAGTCTAATAGGAGAAATTGACATTGGTAAAACAGTCAAAATTATTGTAAAAATTATAATTAAGTTCAGTGCTGAAGAGAGACAAATAGTCCGTATGAGAACATCTAATAAAAGACCTGACATGGTGTCTCTGGACCACAAGCTAAAGGATAAGGGGGCAGAAATGGGAGTGGAAGGATTTATCTGGGCAGAGGGAAAAGCATAGGCAAAGTCCTATGAGGGTAGAAGCTTGGAAGATTCAAGAAACTGAAAGAAGACCAACTGAAAGACAGCAGGTAGAGATGGGACTAGAAAAGTTGTCAGGAGCCAGATGGTGTACATCACGTAGGCCAAGGCAAGAGATTTGATCTCTACCTAAGAACTGTAGAAACTAACTGAAATGAGGATTGGAATGTGTTATGTGACATTCAGATTTGCATTTGAAATTACCTTGCCTACATTGAGAATGGATTTGAAGAGGGCAAGATTGTATGTGAAGTCCAAATAGGAGGTCGTTGACTGTATTCCAGGAGGAGCATGATGGTAGCTTAGGCTTTGATGGCACTAGCTAGAAATAGCAAGGACAGAACATTTAGTGGCTAACCCCTTAATGACAGAACATGCACTGACTGGGGTTCACGTATGAGAGAAAGACATGTCATGATTATTTGTAGTTTTCTGGTTTATGCAACCGGAGAACATTTTCAGACTGGAAGAAGATCATGTTGGAGAGGCTGAATTAGATTGAATTTACCATACCCTTTTCGGACAACCAGGTAAATATAAAATTAGGCAGTTGGAAATCTGAGTGTGAAAGTTATATAAAGGTATGGTCTTGTGATATTTGCATATGGGTGAATGGTAGTTTAACTTGCAGGTGAGAATGTGGTCTTTAGGAAAATACATAATAAAAAGAGAAGGGAGCCTACTGTCCTTGAAATGCTCATCTGTTGAACTTGTGTGAAAATTTGACATCTTTGAAGCCATTTTTTTTTAATTTTTTAAAGATTTTTTATTATTTATTTATACAAACACTGGGTACAGTCAGAAGCACAGGAGGGTGAGAGAATTCACCAGAGCCAGAGTGGGGAGCAGAACAGGCAGAAGGACCAAAGAACACTGCTGAGGGGAGCAGCGGGCAGCAGGAGAGGTCTGCGCGGCATGTGGGACCCTTGCCCAGTGGCCGGGGATCGAACCAGTGCCGCAGAGGCTGCGGGCAGCTTTGCAACCTAGCCCTCAAACGCTGCGCCACCAGGGAGGCCCTGAAAGCCATTTTTAAAATGGAGTAGGGAGTCTTTACAGAGGAATCACATTGCCTGTCTCCTTTGAACTTGGCTAAAGATCTTTGAACAGGGCCAAAAACAATTGTTTTAAGAAACTATCAAGCAAGCAGTTGTTTGAGAAGTCATCGAGATCATGAAAACTGATAATTATGAATGCATAGCTAGAGGGTAGAATCACTCACTTCTCCATGTATCCTTTCTAGAGACTCAGTAGTCAATTGTGTGTAGCCAAGATTAGCTTAAGCTTGTGTTGAAAACCACAATTCATCCAAGTAAATTTAAATATCTAATTGGCTTTATTAAATAATTAATGAGTGAGACAGCATCCCATCTAGCAAGTAGAAAGGTGCTATAAGGAGTTGATTAAATGGAAGATTTTTATAGTTGTAAAGAGGGTGAAACAAAGTTATTAACAAAAGTAAAGAAAGCTTATTTCTGGGCCTCCCCCGTGGCGCAGTGGTTGAGCGCTGGGTTGCAAAGCTGCCCGCAGCCTCCGCGGCGCCAGTTCGATCCCCGGCTGCTCCCCGGCCACCGGAGGAGGGTCCCACATGGCGCGCAGACCTCTCCTGCCGCCCGCTGCTCCCCTCAGCAGTGTACTTCGGTCCTTCTGCCTGCTCTGCTCCCCGCTCTGGCTCTGGTGAATTCTCTCACCCTCCCGCGCTTCTGACTGTACCCAGTGCATGTATAAACAAAACAAACAAATAAATAAATAAAAACATGCCTCTATTAAAATAAATAAATAAATAAATAAATAAATAAATAAATAAATAAAGAAAAAAGCTTATTTCTTTCCTTCCTTAGGGGAAGAAACTGTTATAGAGCAACCCCGATATTAAACGGGTTCCTGGCTGTGGGTCCTCACCCGCGCACTTTAAAGGGACTTATGAATACTCTACTACAGACACACGCAAAAGGGTTAATAAAAGGTTTATTTACAAGAGAAAAAGAAATAAGGAAAATATACAACTCAGGGAGAAAATAGGGAAATAAAGTCTTTAATGCGTCCTACCCGATCCCACGACCTGGAATCCCAAAGTCACTCTCCGAGCTGGCCAGACGCTGCGAGCTGGCGGAGAGCCAAAAATGGAAAGCCCCCCAAAGCCCACGTGTCTGCCTTTTGTATCCACCTGGCTGCTTAACCCCACCCTCAGGTCCCAGCCACCTTCCCTTGGGTGGTGATGGGATTTGGAGTTCCCAGTGTCTTTGGCTTTGACCTGGGGTGGGGGTGGAGTCCACAAAGCCTGTATGGAATTAGCTTTGGGACATCCTTTTCCCCCTAACAAAACCACCTTCCATTAAGGGAAGGCAGGGAGATCTTACCATGCAGATTACTGCATTAGTGCTAACCAAGAAACTCCATATTGATGAATTTAAAATTCAACTTTGGGGAGAGGTTAAAAGTGCAATTAGATTACTTATTAAATTTTGGTGGGGACTGGCATAAACTACTTCTTTTGGAACTATTCATTTACCTCATTTTCTTGCCATAAAACCACTTAATTTTATACCTAGATGGCCAGTTTCCTACTTCCCCTTGCAGGCCTAGGAGTGAGGCAGGCTAGCTGTCATGGAGAAGAAACTGTTGTGGGAAAAAAAAACCTGCCATCACCCCCTCCTTTCTCCTGCCCACATTGAACTCTAGCAGAGCCTGCAGTGCAGAAAGTCTGGGTCTGTCACTGACTCACCTGGGACCAGGGATTCCACTCTCAGATTGCCTCCCTGCTGTGCAGAGCTAGGGGTAGTGCTTGTTTGAGGTGAGTAGTTGAGGAGGGTCTTGCTGAATGCAGGCAATGCTCTTTGGGGAAGTTTTGTTGGTATTTTGATTTTCTCTGCATCCCCTGCCTTTCACTGTCCCCATGCAGGGTTAATGCAAACACAACATTGGGCTGACTACAAAGGGCCTCATTTGGTCTCAATCCAGACCTTCCCTCCTTCTGTGGAGAAGGGGACAGGTGCAGCTTGTGCCCTCAGCATGACGGGAGAGGACAAGGCAGAACGGCATGACCTGCCTATTGTACCCACAACCCCAACCCCTCCAGGAAAGAACAACGAGGGGTGGAAAGGCTTTGGGTAGGAGCCAGGGATGGATGGGAGACAGCACAGGCTCTGGGTGCCAGGAGAAGTCTTGAGAGGGCTGGAGGCTCAGACATAAAGGAAAGAGTTGGCTGGCCTGCACATCCTCTCTGTGGGAGGAGAGGTGGCCCCCGGAGTCCAGGGTCTGCCTGTGAACCCCATTAAGACCTTAGGGTGTGGGGTGTTGAAAGACTAAGCTCCTGTCCAATTCTGGGCCTCACATTCTTTTTTCTTTTTTTTTAAGATTTATTTATTTATGCATACAAGAACTGGGGTATAAGCCAGAGGTGCAGGGAGTGAGAGGATCTACCAGAGAGAGTGGGAGCAGAACAGGCAGATCTACTGAAATACACTGCTGTGGAGAGCAGCGGGTGAGACAGGAGAGGTCTGCTGTGCCATGTGTGTTGCTCCCTGGCTGATCGGGGATCGAACTCGTGCTGCAGGGGCTGGTGTTAGCTTGATAGCACCTCTCTTTAACCCCTGCGCCACCAGGGAGGCTCTGGGCCTCACATTCTAGGAGGAACAGTGAGGTACAAAGATAAGGGTATAGATTCTACAGTAGACATCAGTTGACAATGTCAACTATGACAGTATTTATTAATAGAAATATTATTGTGTGAAGGCAGGCAAATATTCACTTTGCTTTTCTAAGATTTGTGGCACAAAGGCAACTGCATCTATTTCTCAGTAAGTGGATATATATCTATTTCTAATTTTTAAACTTTGTTTTCTTACATTGTTGTTCATTTTTGTACAATATTTGAATTCTCCCCTCAAGTGTAACCCCATAAATCTTCCACCACCACATCACCCATGAACCATCACCTTGGTCCCTTGTGCTCTTCCCTTGAGTGGGTGTATTTCTGAAATTTCTGTTATTTTTAGTCAGAAAAAAATGTTACTCAAAATTTCCGGGGAAACTATAGGAGAGAGACCTCTGTCTTTAAAACGATAGAAGTTTATAAAAGGAGGTAAGACACAAAGAAATGGAAAGATATCCTGTATTCATGGATTAGAAGAATAAACATCAATAATTGTCCATATTCCTAAGTAATTTAAAGATTCAATGCAATACCTGTCAAAATCCCAGTGACTTTTTTCAATGAAATTGAACACTTATAGGGCCTCCCCGGTGGCGCAGCGGTTGAGCGCTGGGTTGTGAAGCTGCCCGCGGCCTCTGTGGCGCCGGTTCGATCCCCGGCTGCTCCCCAGCCACCGGAGGAGGGTCCCACATGGCGCGCAGACCTCTCCTGCCGCCCGCTGCTCCCCTCAGCAGTGTACTGCGGTCCTTCTGCCTGCTCTGCTCCCCGCTCTGGCTCTGGTGAATCCTCTCACCCTCCCGCGCTTCTGACTGTACCCAGTGCTTGTATAAACAAACAAACAAAAAACAAACAAACAAATAAACAAATAAATAAAAATATATGCCTCTTTAAAAAAAAAGTTAAAAAAAGTAAAAAAAAAAAAAAATTTGAACACATAAAATTTATGTGGAGTCACAAAAGGCCCTGAATAGCTAAAGCAATCCTGTGAGAAAGGAATAGAAAGGTGGATATCACACTTTCTGACTTCAAACTATTACACAGCAACATAATCAAAACAGTGTGGTACTGGAACAAAAACAAAAGCAGACCAAAGGAACAGGATAGAAAGATCAGTGATAAATCCACACAAATACAGACACTTATTCTTTGACAAAGGAGCCACAGCCATACAAAGATGGTGTTGGGAATCATGGATAACTATACGCCAAAAAAAAAAAAAAAAAAGGAAACTATATCCATACGCAAATGCTGTCAAAATAGATTAAAGATGTGGACATAAAAGTGATATAATGAAATACTTTATTTTTTAGGAACATAGGGATATACCTAGGATATCTATTGTAAAGATGTATTTGGGGACTCAACCCCAATAACAAGGAAAACAAAAACAAAAATAAGTGGGACTATATCAAACTAAAAAGCTTTTGTATGTCTCTAGAAACCATCACAAAAACATAAAGGTAACCTACAGAATGGGAAAAAATATTTTCACATCACACACAGCATTTTTATACAATCCAACAACAACAAAAAGACAATCCAATCAAAAAAATAGGCAAAAGATCTAAATAAACACCTTTCTAAAGAAGACATTCAGATGGCCTACAGACATGAAAAATTATTCAACATCACTTATTTAAGGGAAATGAATATTTACCCACATGTGATATTACCTGTCCTCTGGAAGAATGGTCCATACCAAAAAGCTTGGAAACAACAAATGTTGGTGAGGATATGGTGAAAAAGGCACTCTCACTTACTGTTTTTGGGAATGCCAGTTGGTGCAGCCATTTTGGAAAATGATATAGAGATTGATTTAGAAAATAAAAAATTCTATATGATCCAGCAAACCTCTATTAAGTATTTATCCTAAAAATATAAAACACTCGAATACAAAAAGATTTATGACCATCTTTGTCCTCAGCAACACTGTCCATGATTGCCAAGTCATGCATGGATCTAACCTCAGAGCCCTTCAAAAGACAAATGGATAAAGAGATCTATTTCTTGGAATACATACTCAATGAACTACTACACATCTGTTTAAAAAGAGGAAATAGTGGCTTTAGGACAAAATGAATGGACCTCAAAGTGATTATGTTAAATGAAATGAGTCAGAAAGTGAAAGATATCAGATGGTTTCCCTCATCTATGGAACATAAATAACAACAACAACAAAAAAATCACACACAGGCAAACTACAGCAGCAATAAATCTTAGACCTAGTAAAAGAATTTAATGGTTACCAGAGGAATGAGACACATGATATATTAGCACTGGAGTGATTATTCTGTCTGCTAGAGAATAGAGGTTAGCATGACTGGTACATTCAACAAAATAGGTAAGCCTGAGAAAGCTTGGAGGGATCATAATTCCTGACAACTAAACAGATGAACCAAAAAAAAATTCCATCAGCTTTTACTGGTTGCTCAATTAAACATAGTAAAGTTTCATTGGCCAACTAAAGGCAACAGAGATGAGTAAGAATACCCATCTCTCTGTGATTTATAACATACCAGGTGAAATTAGGCAAACAGAAATGATTCATTATAAGAGTATCAAAAATGGTATTCACAAAGTGACATGGGCATTCAGAAAATGGTGCATTTGTGTAGCAATTGTATGGATTACTGGGAAGGTGATGGGGTGGATAGCAAAGGATGAAAGGAACAGAGAAAGATTTGGAGAGGAAAGGGAAGAAATGAGAGGTGCAATATATATTGAACGTATATTTTGATAGGCCTAGAAGTGGTCATGTGTGAACTCTGAATGTCACAAAGGCAAGAAAATCCCTCATTTGCTGTTTCCTACTAACACCAGGGATGTACTTGGTAAATGCCAAGAAAATTACGAGTGAGTCTTGAATGGACACTGTCCATTGGGGAAAATAACTGTGTCCACAGAGAAAAATTTCAAGGGTCTGCTATCCATTTTACTTCTTAATTATAGTAATAAATGGGAGTTTTAGATAAAAGTTTTCGTGAATTTTCAACTGAAGCATTTCTCATCTACTTCAACTCACTAATCACAGATTCTAGGACCTTCTTGTTTTAAATCATACCCTGCACGGCCTCTCGAGGCTGGCATCTTGGAATGCAGAACAATCATTCTCTGTAATGAAATCTGTTGTTCAGAATCATAATCCTCTGACTGAGGCAGGAATCAAGGAGGAGGCACCGGTGAGGTGGTTACTGCATTCAAGGAAGACCTGAGGCACTTCCAGGACAGACAGGGCAGGAAAGCAAGGCCAGAATATGTTGGGAATAATATTCTAAATGAGATCTCAGAAGGGCAAATATCTTACAATCTGAAGTTACAAAAATTTTCTTTGCAGCATTTATGAACATAAGTCCGATTCTCATACACAAAAGTCAAGTTTCTGCAGAATTTCTGACAGACCATATATGATAACTGTAGAATGTCACCTGTAATAAGAAGGAACAGCAGAAAATAAGCTAATGATATAAGTTCTCAAGAGACAATCAAACCTGACACTAATCCTGTCACTGAGAACTTAATTAGGCATCAGGGTGTGTATATGGATGGTCTCCCAGCTTCTATTTCCCAGGAGGACCTACACAGATCTAAATTCAGAATTCCCTGGTTCCTGCAGGGGTGTGTGCTAGACGATACTTCCTTCTTTGTATATCAGCTTCATTCTTTTTCCTGCCAGGTTACCAACTATTCTGATTGTTATGATTGATAACACACTGGGGGCAAATTCAGCAAACAAAGAAATAATTCATTATGAGTGCTTTATAAAACAGTGCTTTAGTGCTTTGAGAGTTCAAATCTGTTTGGTTATTTTTATTGGGAATCAATATATCTGCCCCCTTAACCCTGGGAGGATATATTCCAATATGTGGATGCTGAAACCACAGATAGCACCAAGCCCTGTATATGCTGTTTTCTCCTGAAGAAACATCTATGATAAAACTTTCTTTATGTTAGTCACAGTAAAAGATTAACAACAAATAATAATAACTAAGTAGCAATATACTACATTAGACAGTATGTGAATATGTTCACTCAAAATATCTCATTGCACACAATTATTTTGGACCACAGATAATAAACACTGCAGAAAGTGAAACCACAGACAAGGAGGTTACTATATAGGATCCCCACTTTTCAACCCTGTCTCATTTTCCCAAATCCTCTTCTGTCTTCACAGGGATCATGCTCAGGGGCATCTTGCACTTTGCTACCTTCCCTTGGTTGGCCTTAGTCTGAGATATAAAATTGCTGAGGTACTCCCCTAAGAGTTTTCTAAGAATCTCACAGCACTTCCCCGGTGCCCTAACTTACCCTGCATGATACTTAATAACATGCACTCCTCGTTTTTCTGAGCAACACAGACTCCAAGACCTCTACGACAGCGGTCTGTCTGGATGTGAAGGTGGCATGTTCTACACATCAGGGAAGCCACTGCCGGAGAACAGAGAGGTAGGGTGAGGCCAGGGAGAAGGGTTGAGAAGGAGCGGGAAGTGTCCAGACTGCAGGGGTGAATGAAGAGCTGGTGTTAGGTAGTAAACAGTTGGACCTCTCACCATCTCTACATTCCAGGGAAATGCCGATGAGAGAATAAAGGAATTCTGGTGCCAACGACGGTCCTTTTAACCTGAGTAATGCTGAGCAAAGGTTTAGCCTCTAAGGTTTTGGTTTTTCCACCATGAAACAGTGCCGGTACTGCTGGCCTGGCTAACAAATGTAGCAGCACTGAGGACAGATAAGGATGTGACGATGAGGGTGAGTGCTTTAAAATATTTTACCCTGGGGCCTCTGTGGTGGCGCAAAGGGTTAAGACACAACCTATGAAGCTGTTCGCAGCCACTGCAGCACGAGTTTGATCCCCGGCCAGGGAGCTACCCACATGGTGCAGCAGACCTCTCCTGACTTGCACACTGGCCCCCTCAGCAGTGTATTTCGGTCAATCTGCCTGTTCTGTTCCCCGCTCTGTCTCTGGTGAATCCTCTCACACACACACCCCAGTTTTTGTATGCACAATAAATAAAATATTTTTAAAAAAATTTTACTCTGGCCTGATTCTATGATGGGATTTCTGACATTTGCTTCTTAACTATTGTTAACTGATAATGCTCTGTTATTTTGAATTTCAATCTGATTCTAAATGAAGACTTTATGAGGAATGGTGTAGTCAGCGACACTTTTTGGAGTTCTCAGGTGAGTAAATCAAAATATAGGCTTAATTTAAAAAAAAAAATTCCCTGGCAGACATAAGTGAGAAAGGAAAGTAGCATTTATTCAGCATCTCATGGAGCTGTGTTGTCCATGTGTATGTGATTTAATCTATACAAAAGCCTTGTAGCCATTCCCCCACCCCTTAGATGAGCAGTCAAAGGTCCGGGGACTTGAGACAGGGACAGAGACATTTTTAAAATTCTGCCTGATTGCAGAACATCCAGTATTTCCTACAACCACTTGTTTTAATAATAAAGTCCCTGAAAAGGTTTCAAACACCATTGTGTGGCCCCCAAATTGCAGCATTTTTAATTACAGACTGGCCAGCTCTCTCAGAAAGTGGGGCACAGATCTATAAATGGAAAACATGTCTTAAGGAAAATCTTGCTAGCATTTTGGGTTACGGGTAATGTTTGGAACAGAGTGGGGAGCAGGATGAAGTGACAGTCCTAGAGACATGAGCCCCTGGTGGGGGCTTGCAGGACACTGAAAAGGGCAGGGAAGTCGCCAAGGAAGGCAGAGGGAGCATTGTAAAGACTGACTTTCCCTCCCCTATAAATGTGGGCAAGACTCAGCCCTGCATGACACCCACGGCTCCTGTGGAAGCTCCTGGGGCTCCATGATTCCATCTCTGAGACCCACTCCTCAGGCCTGTGACTCACCCACAATGAAGCAGGAAAGGGAGAAGATCAACAAGAAGTGTTTTTCCATGCTGACCCAGAAATCCCTTGTACAGGAGGAAAATAAGTCAGACTGTAAACACAGTTCTTTAAGCTGCAGGGAGAAATCCTCATCCCAGGGCAGGGATTATTTATGCCTACAGGGAACCAATCACAAAGGTTTCCTGCTTTGTGAAGAATCAGCTGAAAAGGGACAAGAGTAATAAATTGGGTACAGTTGTGGCTGTGGAGACAGATAGATAAACCTATCATGGAAACTTTAGTAGGTAGAATGGATGAGACTTGCTTGCTATTAGATTCTCTTTGAGAATGGGATCCAGGGGCTATAAAGAATGATTTCTAAGAGGTTTTTTTTTCTCGAATAAACTGATGTAGGAAAATGTTTAGTGAATCAGAAAGATTACAATATCATTTTGAGACAGTCAGAGATTGTGGTATCTGTGAGCCTTCCAATATGGAGTGACCACTTGAGATGTGAGTCTGGAACTCAGAGATCTGAGGCGGAGATGCAACATTGGGGGTCATCAGCAGACAATAGCAAGCATCCTTTGAGCTATGAGAATGGTACCCAGTTCTTACCCAGTCTCTTGAATCAGAGCTCAACTAGTTCCTGGCCATTCACCCACCCAAAGCAAAGTAGAAAGTTTGTTCTGAACCTGACTTTCTTTCTTCAAAGTCCATTCTAGAACACACGTACTAATCTTCCCACCTTTTCCAATACCCAGAGCCAGATCTAAGCCTTGGTGAAAATTAACCCCAGACCAGATGCTCCTAGTAGCTTCCTCAGAGCCAGGCTCTTGTGCCCTGGAGGCCAAATCCACACAACAATCCCTGCCCTATTGTCTCTCCTAGCTAGGGGTCCTTTCCTGTATTCCAGCTTCTTGTGGCTGAAGCCTGGGCTGAAGCCCTAGCAGAAGGGCTCAGACTGTTTCTGAAACTATAAGACCTGCTTGGAGAGTTAGTGCTTGATAGTTACCAAGTTCTTAACAAATATCTTCCCCTTTTCACAAACCAGTGCAGCTGATCCTTGAACAACATGGGATTGAACTACACAGGTCCATTTAAATGTGCATTTTCTTATATATGGATGATGTAAATTTGCAGTATTCATAAATATAGTCTAGTACTATAAATGTATTTTCTCTTCCTTGTGATTTACTTAATAACATGTCACTTTCTCCAGCTTAATTTATTATAAAAATATAGTATATATACATGTCTCATACCACATGTGTTTATTGATGGTTCATGTTATTGGTAAGACTTCAGGCCAATAGCTAGCTATTAATCGTGAAGTTTGGGGGGAGTCAAAAGTTAAAAACAGATTTCCACTGCATGGAAGTCAGCTTCCTAATCCCCATGTTTTTCAAGGGTCAACCAGCTGTATAGTCCTAATATTAATCCCTTTAGTTATGAAAATTATCCTCAACATCAGTGACTCACCAAAAATCACAGTCAGCAAGCAACAGACTATGGAGTTAAACTCATATGTATAGCAAACTTAAGTTAGCGAGTGACCTTTCTAGAAACCCCCATTGGCACAGAAGAATGGGTATTGAATATCTTTCCCAATGCTGGGGAAAAGGACTCTTTTCATTGACATCTTGCAATTGTACAATTGTGAGCAAGCCATTATATCCTACATGCATGAACATAGCTGTCTCAGGTTATGACCAGTCCCTCTCCACTGGAGCCCCTCTCTTTACCCATGTCTCATCATCACCAAAACCACGTTTCTCTCTGAGCTTGAGTTTCTCTCTCACACTTTCTACACATCACCTGCTTTCAGGTTGCTTGACTCTGTATGTTGATATTTGCTGTTCTTTTGCCTGTCTGTCCCTACTTCTTGCTAACACAACATTAGCCTTCAAAGTCCTACTCACCATCCCTTCTTCAGGGAAACCTTCCCTGATGAGGTAATCAGTTTTGACCATCACTCATCTGGGCTCCCAAAGACCCCCATGTTTGAAGTGTTTGTAGTCTTCTTTTTTTTTTTTTTTTTAAGATTTATTTATTTATACAAGCACTGGGTACAGTCAGAAGCGAGGGAGGGTGAGAGAATTCACCAAAGCCGAGCAGGAAACAGAACAGACAGACTGACAAAGTACACTGCTGAGGAGAGCAGTGAGCATGGCAGGAGAGGTCTGCGCGCCATGTGGGACCCTCGCCTGCTGCCGGGGATCGAACCGGCGCTGCAGAGGCTGCAGGCAGCTTCGCAGGCCAGCGCTCAACCGCTGCGCCACCAGGGGAGGCCCTGTTTGTAGTCTTCTTAAGTAGACTCCGACATCTGCCAGGCCAGTGATTGATGTCCTGGTTTACCTGGCACCTTCTCTTCCCGCGATAATGGCATTTGTTAAGTGTTTAATGATTGCTTGATTAAAAATGAATCAATTGTATTGATGCCTGAAGGCAAGCTGGAGAGACTTCTCTGCTCGCCTCTCCTTTCCCATACCACAGAGGCACACTCCAGTGTTTCCCCGGAACTCGCACTGCGCCTGGAATGCTGAGCTGAGTTCCTGGTGCTTCTAAGTGAGACAAAGACAAATCTGGATTATGCTGAAGAACATGACTAGGTTAGTGAAGAGAGCCAATAGGAATGAAGGGGTTCTAGCCTGTTTTTGCAATATCTGAAAGGTTGAAATGGAGAGAAATGGAGAGGGGTCAAATAAGGAAGCCAACTGCTGGTGAAAAAGGGGCCGTCATAAGAAGAACAGAGCACAAAAGTTAGCTGCACAATAATGAATTTATCTACATTTATTATTTATATTTATATTTTTTATTTATATTTATATTTATATTTTATATTTATTTATTTATATTTTATTTATTATATTTATTTATTTATTTATTTATTTTTATATTTTTATTTTTTATATATTTGTATTATATTTTTATTTATATTTATATACATTTATTATTTATATGCATTTATATACATTTAGAAAGAGGAGGAGAGGAGGCAGGAAGGGAGGGGAGAAGAGGGAACGGGAGAGGAGAAGGAGGAGGAGAGGACATGTTACTATTTTGGGCTCATCATTAAAGACAATTTTAAATTCAATGCCTGGGGGTAAGGAGACTCCAGTGGGTGACTTGGTTCTGGGCACACTTAGGTACTGTCTGTCCCTGGACTTGTATGATTATATGGTTAGTTGTCTAGCCCCAGGACAGATCACAGGAGGAGCTGAATCAGCCGGGAAACTGCACATGACAAAAGGCCCAGGATGTTTATTCTGTCTCTGCTGAGCATGGTCTTTCTGGTCTGCATGAACAAGGGTAAGTCCTGCAGAGGAAAGGTCAGCTGGCTCTTGGTTAAGAGCCAGGCAGGTGGCCACCCAGGTGGTGCAAGGGGTGAAGACACAACCTATGAAGCTGTCTGCAGCCAGTAGACCCCTCCTTTCTTGTCTGCTGCTCCCCTCAGCAGTGTATTTCAGTCACTCTGTCTATTCTGTTCCCCATTCTGTCTCTGGTGAATCCTCTAACCCCCCACACCTCTGGCCTGTATCCCAGTTCTTGTATGCATAGATAAATCTTAAAAAAAAAAAAAATGCTGGGCAGGATGCTAGGGGACAGGAAATTCCAAAATAGACTCTTGGGGTTTTGATAGATGAATGTGTGTATGACAAGGAATGCTTTTCTTCTTTGCACAGGTAATCTTCAGGAACGTCTAAAAGGTATGGCCATGCCCAAACCTCCGTAAACAGATCTTTGTGACACATTTAGGACTAAATCTCCATCTTCAGAGAGGACTGTGGTCAGCTCTACTGTGGAACCCTGGTTTTATCTTTTCCCAGACCAATTTAATTCATTTCTTGGAATGAGGAGGCTGAAATCTTCTTTGTGCTTTTTTCTCTACTGTGGACAAAATCACCATACCAGATAAGGGGTTTCTTACTTGGGGTCATGGGTACATTTTATAAGAATTCTGATCTTTTGAAATTATGCACAACATTTGATTTGTGTCTGCACCAGTTATCTTTCACAAGATCATCAAAGAAGTCAAAAAAGTTAGGGACCACTAGGCAATAGTAAAGCTCTTATGGAGAAACCTCCAGGCCTAGAACCTTCTCCAGAGAGTGTCCTTTAAGCATCTCTTTCTGTGTCTGGCAGAGACTGCAAGTACCTGTTATTCCTGTAAGATGTTTCATCTTGGTGTGTGCTATGGCACAATGACTTCCTGCAATCTCAAGTACCAACAGTCCTGTGCTGTTGAGAACATTTACATTTTTACGAAGAAAGGTAAAATGGGGAACAGAGGGATGAGACACACCTCCTCCACCTCCTGCCTTTAGAGACAGTGATGTTCTTTTACCCTGAGAGTGTGTGGGTGAGAGGGGTGGGGAAGGATGGGGTGGTCCTATAGAGGATATGGCAAGGATGAACTTTTCCATAATACAATATTGAGTTTGAGGTCCCTTATCAGTTAAGGGATAAAATCCAACCTTTGTGTCAGTAACTAGTAGACTCACAGAACCCATTTGGGCCTAGAGAATGGTTAGTGAGGACCCAAAGAGAGGTTTCTGGTAGGAATTTTGAGAGTCATGACAGTTGTATTCCTCCATCTCCCTCCCCAGGGAGGAGTATGTATTTTTATTCAAGACTGTCATGTATGCACAACTGTGAGGACATGAACTTTTTATCTTTTGACAAGAAGATTGAGCTCATCTGTTGCAAACACAGTGACAATTGCAACATCCCTGATGGAAGTTAGTTCTACATTTCTCCTGAATTTGGGGTCATTCTTCAACTTACATTCCTTTTATCTCTTCCCCCCAAACCTGTATTTGTTTTCCTCTTCTAACTCCTGATAAAAATGAGAAAGCCAACTGCTAGTGAAAAGTGCAGCAGTTACAAGGAGAACGGGAGGGTAGCTGAGTCCATTAATGGAGGTGCACTGGACTGAAATTTTGCAAATCCCTAATGCTGGTAGTGGGATTGGGTTTCCTTATGACAGATGGATAGGGTTAGACTTAGAATTGATTATTATCTCCTATACATGGAAATGCGAAGACTTCAAACAAAACAATTCTAAGC